TGGCAGGGAAGTCTTGGGAGATGATTTCCCTTGCAAAGTGGGTAATACCTTGAGGCATTTCAATAAATGGGTTCTTCTAAGTACTTAGTTCTTAGAAGAGAAAATAGCTGGTTAATGACATATATATGAAGTGAGTCAGAAGGTAGAATGGTCTTAAAAACTGAATGTGCCTGGGCACATACTATATTAGAAATAAAAGTGAGTATTTTCAATTAGACTAGGCAGCAGTATGATGAGACCAAAATGGGGATATATCCTTTCCCCCAAAACTATTCTTTCTGATATTATCTACTTGATAGGGTCTTCAATACTTTTCTGTGACAGGCATTAATTTGATGGATGAGGTAGAAATAGCAGGGAGGCAACTGGTTAAGAATGAACCATCCCTCAAATTACTCATAGGTAATTAGAAATAATTTTTATTATTATTTTTAAAGTTAACCTCAGAGCATTGGTTTTCAAAGTGTCCTTGCCAGCCAGCAGAATAAAGATCACCTGAGAATGTACTAGAAATGCATATTCCCAGGCCCCACTCTAGAACATGAGTCAGAAATTCTGAGGGTGGACCAGAAATCTGGGGGTGCCCTAAAAATAACAAGTCTTTTAACAAGTCTTCCTGGTGATTATGCTATATTGCCCTCAGATTTTAAGTAATTATTTTCTTATATCATCAATATTTTCAAGATTTTCTTTTTCAACTAATGTTTGAAAGTTCAGAAAGCATAAAATGACAAAAAGGTGACAGGAGACATGGGTTGTTTAAATATTTCTTCCTAAGAGTGCTTTAAGAAGAATTCTGTGTTTGGCATTTTGAAGTGGGGGCTGTAAGTGAAATCTCTTCTTCCAGGATGAGGATTCCTAAATCCTTTCACAAATGGCTGGCATATTTCCAAAGATATATATTTATTCTGAATTTTTGTGTCATTTGGTTCATCTATATTAGCCTTATTGTGACAAAATATCATCTTGACCAAAGGAAATATTTTTTTAAAAAGTCTCTGAAAAGAGATCAAAGTCTTTGACACAAAGCTTTTAAAAAAATAAGTTTATAAAGATTTCTGTCTACATTTTTTATCTGTGCATCATAGTTGTAGATACAATGTTTTAAATAGAGTGTATTATGTTGTGCACATGTTGAAAAACTATGATTTTCCTGGAAAACAGTTTGAATAGTATCTTGTTTTTCTGGATAGGCAGAGAAAGTCTCCCTAGGAAATCATGTGGAAGGTGTATGTTCACCTTTAAGGAAACTGCCAAATTGTTATCCAAAGTTGTTGTACCATCCTACATGCATACCCATAGTGTATGAGAATTCAAATTGCTCCATGACCTCAGTGACATGTGGAATTGTAGTAGGTAGCTTGGTATGACAGACATTCCATTACATATGTAGTTATATCTTACAGTGATTTTCATTTGCATTTCATTGATGACTAATGATGGTAAATATCTTTCTATGTGCTTATTTGCCATTTGAAGATATTCTGATGCAGCCATTACACTTTTAACCTAAAAATAAAAGCATAAATCCATATAAAAACATGGATTCTTACTGTCGATTCAGTTGTGTCTTCTCAAAATTCTTATCAAAGCCCTAATCCAATAAGTTTATGTAGAAATGAGGCTATAAAGGAGAAATTAAGATTAAATGAGATCATAAGGGTGGTGCTCTAATGCTAAAGAATTAGTGTCATTATAAGAATAGAACTTAGATTGTTTGCTCTAGGAGAGAGCTCTCTCATTCTTTCTTTCTCTTTCTGGCTAGGTGAACACACAAAGAAGAGGTCATGTGAGTACAGGAAAAGGTCATGCTGGAGCAATGATCTTGACTTCCAGCCTCTAGAACTGTGAGAAGATAAAGGTCCATTGTTTAAGTCTGAGTCTATGGTGTTTTGTTATGGTAGCTGGAATGACTAATATGATCTGCATAGAAACTTTATTTGTAATAGTAAAAAACTGGAAACCACCCATATGAATGGGAAAACAATTTGTAGTACATACAATTGAATATCACTAAGCAATAAAATTGAATAAACAATTTATAAACATGAATAAATCTCAAAAAGATTGTGTTGAGTGAAACAACTAGACAATAGTTATACTGTGTGACTCTACCTATGTAAACTCTAGAAAGAGTAGATAATCTATAGTGACAGGATACAGATCTTTGGTTGCCTGGGGGCAGAGATGTGGTGAAGAATGGGAGGGAAGGATTATAAAGGTACAGGAAGAAACTTTAGGGGGTGATAGATATCACTAGCTTTACTGTGGTGATGATTTTATGGGTATCTTCATATGTCAAAACTTAGTAAATTAGCTGGGTGCAGTGGCACATGCCTATAATCCCAGTGACTCAAGAGGATAAGGCAGGAGGATTTAGAGTTTGGGGTCAGTCTGGGCAATTTATTAAAAACTTATCTCAAAATAAAAAGGGTTGGGGATGTAGCTCAGTGGTAGAGGCCCCTCCATTCAATCTCCAATATTGTAAACAAAACAAACAAAAACAAAAAATATTATTTTTAAAAGATATGTGCAGTTTATTGGCAATTGTACTTGATAATATTGTTTTTTTTTTTTAAAAAAAAAAAACCTGTGGTCTTCTTATCTCTAGGAAGCCCTAATTTTGTGTTAAACAGACTTTTAATTTTACTTTCTTTAGACCTTGACAAAGAAATGGAAAAGAAGATGTCTGAATCAGAAAAGGCTATTATATGTATGGCATGTCATGGCTTTGTACCTTCTCCTATGAGGAGCCTGGAACAGAATTTCTGCTCCACTCCAAACCTTGCCATTACCTTCGAAGGTCAAAACCAAATCAGAACAGATCAAAGGGCTGAGGTTTTGGCTTAGAAAGCTCGCCTGGCATGTGTGGGGCACTGGGTTCAATCCTCAGCACCACATAGAAATAAAATAAAGGTATTGTGTCCAAGTACAATTTATATATATATATCCATGTATATATATATATATATATATATATATATATATTTTTTTTTTTTTTTTAAACAGATCAAAGGACCATAAAAGAGGTGGAAGCAAAACTCAAAACTGGAATACAAAAGATTAAATGTAGACCTTTTTGCTTTTTGTAAGGTTACAAAAATTGGATACCATAAAGAGTGAAAATTCATTAATCTTTCAATTACTTTTAGTAGTTGGTATTAAAAAAAAACCCCTATATTACAAAACAAAACCAAAACCAAAACACCCTCCTCAAGTAGTGAGGCTAAAATCCAGAGGTGTCAGCAACTGTGCAAAATTTTGACATTAAATCCCAAAGTTGAAACAAAATTTTATTAGAAGTTCAAGACCTGCATCACTTTCACAGGAAGCTTGGAAGATAAGTAGGCTTTTATTCATCCTGTACGTAAAGTTCACCCCAAATATAACTTTATCGTATTTTGAGGGGGTGTGCTGACACACTATTTATACTAAACTGTAATAACATGGAAGGAAAAAATTTTCGTGGCATATCAGTATGGAAGGAAACCCCTCAACGCTGCAAATTGTTTATTTTTACTGTGCTGCTGCGATAATCGGGTTTTTGTTTTTTATCTCTAACGTCCTAGGTTTTAAGCAAATTCTTTGAGCTTTGGCTACCCAAACTCAAGTGGTAGAGAGGGAATTCAAGACTATATTTGAATCTAATAATATCGAACAGAGAAGTTGTCTGGAGGGCCTCCTATCCACATAGCTCCGCGTGTTCCCCTCCACGACTTGCATTAACTTGCTGCTGCTTCCCAGCTGGAGAACACAGATTGCACCTGCTCCGAAGGCCAACGGGGTCCTGCCGGGTCCGCAGCTCAGCCTCCGTTGCTTGTGCACAGACGCGAGGACCCACCAGGGGTCACTGTAGCCTCAGAGCTATTGTGCCCGCCAATCCTGGACGCGGCCAGCCGCGCGGAGGGCGTGGGACTAAGATCGCTGAACGCTAGGGTCGAAGCAGAACTGCGCCTTGTCCTCCCGAGCCAGCCTCCTAGTCTCCTAGGGAAACCGAAACAGCGAGTCCCCAGACAGCAACTCGGCTCCGGCGCGGCGCACAGCTTTCTCGCGCCGACCTGCCGGCACCTAGCCATTTGGACCACCTCCACTCCGCCCTCCGCACCCAGCTGAGATCCCGCCCAGAAGGGGCGCCCCTGCCACGGTCAAGGGGATCCCGCTAGGGCTTTTCGAAGGCATCTGGGCTGGGCCCAGCTGCACCTGGGCTGCTTCCGCCCGGGACGCCACCCCCAGCGACGCCCAAAGAACTTTCCCCAGAGCCCCCGCGGCCTGGCGCGCCCGGGGCACACCCCCACCCTCCCACCACTTTGCCAGCCAGGGCGCCGGCTTCTCAGCGCGATCGCCTGCGGATCCTCGACTCCCGGCTTTTCTGGCTGTCTTGCAAAAGCAGGGCTCCGCCGCGGCTGCAGGACGTTCCCCGAAAGAGAGCTTGAACTTGACCACACAGAACCCCGGTAATGAGTTCGGGAGCTCCCAGACCGGTCCCTTGCCCCGCGACGAGCTGACGCCCCCTCGTTGGTCTCGGTAAGGAGCCCACTGTCCTTCTTCGGGTCTCTGGATGCCCATGGGATGGAGTATTGGGGGTAGCGGTCTGAGTGACGACTCTCGCCACTGCCTGTGAGCCCTGGGTTGAGATGTCGTGGGTACCCCTGACACAAAAGAGAGGCCGAGAGCTCCCCTTTTGGCCGACCGGTCGGGCGTGTGGGGCGGGGTCGGTGGTGCAAGTCCGCTCCTGCTGGGGACTCCACAGGCTGACGAGCCGCGGGTGCGTCGCGGCCACGCTGGAATTGGTGCTGGTGGAGGGAGCTGTAGAGCTTCAAGGGGGCCCTTCCTAGTCCGAGGAGGGCCTTGGGCACTCGTCTCTCCTTTTCTTGTCTGACCCCCATTGCCAGGAGACTTTTGTCGTCCCCAGGTCTGTGGAGGGGCCGCGTCACCGCCGCCTTCAGAAGAGTCAGAGCCGGAGCCGCAGGATGCACGGGGACGCGCCGCCCTCCGCGCCCAGTTCCGCCGGCGCTTCCCCGGCGGCTCCCGGGCGCTGACTCTCCCAGCCTTCTCCGCCCTCCTTGCTTCTCGCGGCGCCAGGAGGTTCCGCAGCTCGGCTTCGGACTCCACCGGGAGCAGCTTCTCTCGCTTTCGCCACGGCGCGGACAGTAAATTAATGCTTCGTGTTTGAGGGGAGGGGGCGGCTTGGCGCTCGGTCACAGCTTTCTCGACTGGCTGGAGACGGTCACAGTCGACATGGGCTGTTTCTGCGCTGTTCCGGAAGAATTTTACTGCGAAGTTTTGCTCTTGGATGAATCCAAGTTAACTCTCACCACCCAGCAGCAGGGCATCAAGGTAGGCATGATCGGGGGCGCGTTCCCGGGGTCGACAGCAGGGCGGGCGCAGGGGTCCGCGGCTTTGTCTGAGGGCTGTCACGGGTCGAGGCTGGCGGCCGCGTCTCTGCGCTGTGGGAAGGAGAGGCAGATGCCCCCTGCGCTCAGACACAGGGTGGACGTGTTACGGTGGGTTAACTTTCAGTTCCTGCATCAAGTACTTCGACGTCGCAGAGGTTACTCCATGCACCAATCCAGCCGCAGCCCACCGTCCTGCAATGGAGACCAAAAGTCTGTCCACCACCGATTTTCTCTCAAAGCTTTTAGGCCCCTCGCAGCTCCGAAAGAGATGCAAAATTGAATGTACAGGCTGCACTTTACCCCAGGGTTGAAGGCATGATTGTCCTTGGTTTTGTTGATTTTTTTTTTTCTTGATAGCTTTCTTGGAGAAGTAAACTAAACTGGTTCACTCCTTGAAACACATTAACCGGGTTGTTGTGATTGTGTTGCAACTGGGTAAGGCTACGTTTGTACTGAAAATAATTTCCCTTCCCGCGAACGAACCGGTTTAAGTAAATGTCTCACAGTTAAGTAAACGTCTCTCAAAGCTACTCGATAATAACTTTGCTTTTAGTCATTAAAAATGCGATTACTACTATTTACCTACAAAACCCGAACAAACAGGCTGCAGACCTGTCACAGATCCACTTCCTTAATTTTGAAGAGTACCTGCCAACCTGAGGATGCGCCTGCGCGCTTGTTTCGCCTATTGCAACAATTGAACTACCTAGAGGAGACCCGAATCCGGAGCGTTTTATTGTTTTGCTTCCCTTTCCCCTTCAGTTTAAATCACTGAGGTTTTTTAGATAACGCGGCGGCTGAATCTGGTGAAGGGAAACCTCCCTCCCAACCCCCAATAGAGCCGGCTGGCTGGCTGAAAAATCTAGTTCAGGCTGCCAAGAGCCCTCTCCTCTCAGAAGTTAATCCTGGTGGGGTAGGCCTGGGCATTTCCTTTTGCGAATCCGTTTTAACACAGCTGGATGCGTACTGAAGTAACTGTTCCTGGCTAAAAGTCTCAGCGTTGATGATGCCATTTTTGGTGTACAGCGTTCTCATATCACAGGTGTACTTCTTTTGCAGGAGAAAAGGGTGAAGTGATCTATTAAAGCTATGAGGTTGTTAACCCTTTCTTTAGGAAATTGTTTTGAATATTGTTTCCTCAGTAATTAAAATGAGCAAAATGTAGTCGGATCTCATTTGATATTTTCTTTCAGGACCAATAACACAGGATCTTTTGGGGGAGAGTGTTCATTTTGTATTTTTAACTTTTATGTTCCCAAACATCCCTCTTGGATGCCCACAGAAATCAGGAAAATAATTTACAAAATGATGTAACCTTCTGTGGTGTACTATGTGAATAAAATAGGCCAAAAAAAAATCATAAAACATCCTAAATTCTTGATAATACATAGATTCTCTGGTGTGGGAGTGGAAACAATTAGAAAAAGATAAGTGATGATCTGATGCGGAAACAACAAAGAAATCTTTCTGAAGTGCAAAGTCTCAGTTCATCTGGAGTCTAGTCATCTGCAGTGTGAGCTTCCTATTTAATCATAAAAGCCATGCCCCTGTCAGCCGTGGAGCATGTACATTTTTCTGTCAAGAGAGCAGCCAAGACTTGGGATCAAATGGAATAATTTTGTCAAAGAAACATGAATCAAACGTCCTGATCCATAATTATTTTTAATAACCCAGTGGTGCTTATCTTGTTTTACAAATGGGTTGAAAATTGGTGAGTGATTCAAGGGCAACAGCAACTTTATAATACTGTTATCTTGGCTGTATGCCATATAACTAAACAATAATTTAAGTGGGCTTTTGTTGTAAGTAATCATTTCACAACAGGCTTGGTCTCTTTCAGTGTCACAGAAGCATACTATGTTATTTTGATGGCCATGTGTGTAACATAGATATTGTCTGCTAAAGTTAACCACATTATCAGTAACTACCATGCAACCATAAAAATGCATATGTTAAGCACCTTGTGGTATGTACTAAATTAAACATTTGGGTATCTATACGTGGCATAAGGTATGAAAAAGCAACCTTTTATGTAAACGGTGCTCATACCTTGAATATGTGTATGTCTTTCTGCACATATCTGACTTTAAAAAATTTTTCCTAACCTTCCTATATCATAGATATTAATATTCCATTGTATTAATCAGATAAAATCAGCTCCTACTTTAGTTCATAAATGAAAAAGTAAATAATTACTTCAAAATTAGCCAATAGTTACTATTGTGGTGTTTTACTGTGAGATAATACATTCAATAATTTTGATTATCACTTCATTAAGAACAAAGTTAAGCAGGCAGCATCAATTAGCTAATATTTCCTGAAGTTAACATAGAAAAACAAACAAACAAAAAAAAAAAGAATTTGCTTTTATTGCTTTTATAATAATGAATTATGGATTGGAAGATTAATTGGACTAAAGTACAATAATTATGAGAGAAGCTTTGTAAAACATTTTTTTTCTGTGTGCCATTTTGAAAAACACCATTTGAATCAAAGTACCAGATTACAAATTGAAAAGTTATGAAATAATATTCTACAACTTAAAATTTTTCATTGACTTTGGAGAAAAATTGCTGTTTCTATAGAAAGCATTTTAGCCTGAAGACAATAGTTATATTTTGTATGTTCAGGTGAGTATCATTTAAATGGAAAATGATTTTGTTTTAAAAATAATTTGAAAAATAAGGCACAATATTTTTGTAACCATATTAATAGGTACTTACATTCTTAACTTGCTTTAGAGGTAACCTCACTTGACAAGCAGGAAGTCTTTTTCATGCAATTCATAGATTGAGTCCTATCCAAGATTTAAATACCCAAGTTTGTATAAACTGAAAGCTATTGGTTGTGTGTTGAGCCCCACAATAGCTTTTAGCTGTTTGTTCTCTGCTGCTATCTCTATTGTTTATTCAAGTAAGAATTTCTGCTATGGTTGGTCTCAGTTTTTTGAGTAATGTTTGGTTTGGGAAACTTTTGCTAGGTCTTTTGTTTTGTGTGCTAGGGGAGGGGAGGTAGAGATCTTTCTTTCTTTTAGAAAGTAGACTTGAATGTGGCTTAAACTAATTTTTGGATTAATTGGTTAGCAAAAGATTTTTCAGGGGAAAAAGTCACAGGTTTGTTTCTAAATTTAACCCTCAGAATTGCTTGCTGTTGCAAATATAAATAGATTAATATTTTCATTTCAAAAAATTTGATCCTCTGAAATGAATACCAAGGTACTCATGATTCCTTTTAGTGTTGACTAAGTTAATGAAACCTAACATGACAGAGAAATTGGAACCCCATTAGCTTTTTAAAGGAATTTATGGAGATACGCAACACAATTTACCCAGTTAAAACATACAATTCACTCATTAACTGTTAAAAAATGTTACCTCTTAATTATCCTGAGATTTCTGAAGGAATACTATAAGTCAGTTTTAATGCTTTGATCAGAAGCTCCCTAATAAACCAGAAAAACAATTATAAGGTGAGAATTTAAAGTATATGTGTCTTACCAAGAATTGTAATTTTCATTTCATTTGAATGGTAATGAAAATGTCTTAGAAGATTGGGGAAGAAAGTGAAGAGCAACAGTTTTTCATAAATTATATTAAGCATCTATGTGAATACCTGTATCTTTTATTGTTTTTATTTTGCTGTTTCTATAGAAACACATATCTTATAGACTTGGGGACCTTATAAACATTGGTTGAGGCAAGAAATCATATAGTAACATTTCTGGTAATGTAAGCTGAGAATGGTCAGTACATTAGATGGGACTAGGATAGAAAATTCTCTTCTCTACACTGTATCCAGCTTTTCTTGTTTGTTTGTTTTAGTTGTAGATGGACACAATACCTTTGTTTGTTTATTTTTATGTGGTGCCAGGGATCAAACCTAGTGCCTCATGCATGCTAGGCAGGCGCTCCATCACTGTGCTACAACCCTGGCCCCACAACCGGCTTTCTAAGATTCAGATGTGAGATCCGTGTTGTGGTTGCATAAGATGAACTAATATGTAACCCGCCATTATAAGCAGTTTATTTTTATTGGAAAAATACTTTTATCAGCCATAACTTAAATATGATTTAAAAACTAAGAGGGAGAACATTGTTTTGTTACCTCTAGCAGCTGATGGCCTACCTTCTCCAGGGGCTTATAATGTTCTTGGCTAATGGTGGACCACATTCTTTTGCAGCCCAGTTACGATGTCTGTCTGTTCTTGAATTCTATAATATGAAGCTTGAACTGAGTTTGAACTGAACTTGAATGAATGCAGTGTTTTTGTTGCTTTTGAGCATGGGTGGTAAGGTTAAATCTAAATTGTAGGAATAAAAGTCCAGGCTCTACTTCTTATTGGCTCTGTGGACAGTGGTTTGTTATTTTTATTAGGACACTTACACTCAAGATGGGAATGTAATTTGTTTGTTTGGTCAGATTTTATTTGAGACTGTAGGGCCAGGCAGTTCTTTCCTGTGATAGGTTGTCCTTTCCATTGTGTGATACGTGGCTGCATTCTTAGCTACTACCCAGGAGATGCCAATTGCACCTCTTCCCTAGCCATGACAACCAAAAAATGTCCCCATGTGTTGTCCAGTGTCCACTGATGGTCAGTATAACCGTTGGCTGAGAACCAGTGCCAGAGAGCACGTGGCTTCCTTTATTCTTAACGTTTTTGGTACTTAGTTTTCTGCAGGATGCAGGGTAACCTTGAGATGTCTTCTGTTCCCTCCCTCTCCTTGGGAGTGGTGAGTTGTTTATCTTTTATTCAGTGAAAACAATATGATTTTCTGTGTCTTTTAATTGCTCATTTTTATAGTGGGAGCAATATAATGGGAAAAAATAAAAGCCTATGCCCTGAAATCAGACCTCCTGGTTTTAAATTTTGTCTCCACTAATACTTACTAACTGTGGGGCCATCATGAAAGATACTTATCTTTTCTGAGTCTCAGTTTCACC